TGCGTGACAGTTTTGGATTCACAAAATCTATATGTGTAACATCGAGTTGTCCCCCCCACTTATTTACTTACCCCTAGGTATTACCAAGGATTTCAGGGTTCAAAATTTAGTCATTTGTAATGTGATTATAATTATCAGTTTTATAATATCCTGATTGTTATCTTAAGTGATATATAGAACTATCCCTACTTATTTTCAATAGCATGCATGCGCTGAATTGGGATTTTATGTATTGGATATTATTAATATTTATATTATTAAATCTAATGTCTGTCACTTTTTGTGGATCTGATTGGTCAGTTCCAAGTGTTGTGACCTTATTGTGTAATAGTTTTTTATTTATGGATAAGGTTGTACTATATACTAATTAATTTACAACAATTATGTAGAACTTTTAATAACTAATAAATATTAAATAATTTATGCTTTTGGAATGAAATTAATTGACTAAATGAAAAAAAAAAAGAAATCGTAAATAAATTCTATACTATCAATCACACACATAATGATGATAACCCACATAAATACAAATCTACATAACAATCGCATCTAAGACAGACTTAATATAAAAAAGCAAAAAGCATCATTTAAACAGCAAATCTAATTTATAAAAAATTTAGATAGATTTTAATATTGAATTTCATATAAATATATAAAATCCTTTTTTTACCTTGAAGTTAATTTAATCTACACAACCCATATATAAATATCTATTCTATATTATTAAATATTCTATTATATTTCTACATCATATCAGCATAGTGGACTTTTGATTTTAACACTAAATGTGACATAAAGTGATGATCATATTTATATTGTGCAACTAACAAAATTAATTGAAAAAGTACTTTAAAATACTCATTAATGTAACATAAAAATTACACAAACAAATATGCATGAAACTTTGCATAAACATTCTTTGGGTGATTTATATACTGAAAGTTCTTTCCCATCAAGTCCATTAAGTTCAGTTGGAGAGATGAATAAGAAGCAATGTTTATAGGTTGACGACAGTAAATCTGCATGGTGCTTTCTGAAATTGTCATGATTTTAGGTACCTTTGTTAACAGTTTTATTATATTTTTATTATTATAATTATTTTTTATTACTTGCAATTTGTTATTTTGATTATATTTCAAATTGTTATTATGCTTACTGTGATATTGATTATATACATAACTTTTGTTCAATTAAAATAAAATTTTAAACCATAATAAAAATTACTTGAATTGAATCACTCATTATCATGTCATCAAATTTTAAAAAAAACAAATGGAAAATTCAAAATGAGAATATCAAAGATATGATGAATAAAAAAATATATATAAAGATATCAATTGCAACAATAGATCTTTTGAAAAAAATTTTTTTAACTACCACAAATTATAAAAAAATTATTTATAATATAACCAATTACTTAATACCATCTAACATAAAATTAAATACAGTAAAAGTCCATGATTTTCAGCCAGAAACTATCATCTTTCCTTTGTTCTATCATTACACAGTAGCGGTAGTTGGAAGTTACCCCCCTATATAGTTAATATAGATTTTAATTATTAAAGAGATAAATCATATATTATTTAGTTATAATTGACAATAATACCATATCCCAAATGTTCCTGCACTTAAATTATTTATCTTCTTCAGTGATCCTATATCACACATTTGTAATACATTTGACCCCAATAAGATTTTCCATGAGTCAATATGGAAGGATCTTATTGGACCCATACTTATAGTATCATCTGTTGGTAACACATGTCTAGAAGAAGATCCATTTTTAAGGTCCAATATGTCAAGTCCACTAATTGAAAAAATTGAAAGAAGGTTGTCATGGGAAAGACTCAAGGGATAAAGTTTAATAATATGAGGATCAAGGCACAAAGATCCTCCTGATGTCCAGATATTGGTGCCATCTTCAAGATTCCAAGATTTTATGATTCCATCTACACTTCTACTGATACATATTTTCCTCCTAGTGTCTAATACAATTGAATAAACTTCTTCTGTATGTCCTTGTGCACACCAAATATTTTCACCAGTTACTATATTCCAGGCTCTAATGCTGTAATCATGACTGCTACTAACTAAATTATTCCCTGATGCTGCCAAAACACAAATTGAGCCTTGGTGACCTTGAAGAGTATGGAGGTAAAATGGATTATTATTATCACTTGGTTCAGCATTATCAGATTGTGATGACATTGATTGTGGTGTTGATGGTGTTGATGGTGTTGGTGTTGATGGTATTGATGGTACTGACATGCCAAGCACATGTGGAGGATCAATCACAGGGTTAGGTAAACGCCATACTTTCAATGTTGTGTCTTGTGAACCTGTGACAAGTAAAGTAACATCTGGTTCTATAATAGGAGGTCCTTGTGGATCTGGATTTATATTTTGTGGTGTCACTATTTGGAAGCAGCTAATTGGCTTTGTATGAGCTATGAATATATGAGTACAAATACCCTCCAATATATCCCATACACGAATCATTTGGTCATCAACACAATTAGAAACCAATGTGTTGTCAATAAATTGTAATGAATTAATTGTTTTACTAAGACCAAGTGTTCTAATTAATCTTCCTGTTGCAATTTCATAAATACTTATATCATTAAAAGCAGAATTTATGATTATTTTTTCTCCATCCATTTGAAGACACAGAGGATAATTATTGAATTTGCCTTTTATGGAGGTTTCTTTGTAATTACCACAAATCCAGTTTTTTTTCAAGATACAATATTTGTGATATATATCACTATATAAATGATTTGATGAAGGTGAAATAGATAAATTTCTATGTATATTGTTTAGATCAACACCATCTTCTGATAAAAATTTATCCATAAGCAATCTGAATTAATAATTATTTCTCTCCATTTTTTAGAAACCAATTGCAACTTGCATAGAAGAACTTTTGGTTCAAAATATCTGAAGATCAGTATAATTATGTCATATGGGAACCTGCTCATAAAACCAGATAGATTTTCTATGTAATTATCATTAAATAATTGTGATATAAAACTTGATTCATCTTCAGTTGACTTATCCTATTTAAAAATTAATTTGCAAAAATCAAATTATTTATCAGATAACAATAGTAATAACATGATGTGATAAGTTTTTGTTCAGTTGCAACAGCCACATGTATTGGTGTTTTCAATAAGCTTAATGTTTTTACCTTATCATCATCATCATTTTTTTTTGTTTTATCATATTGAGAATCGTCAGTTTCCTTGTTGATTTCATCATCTACAAATGCATTCCTACCATCATCAATAATAAAATCATTTTCATCTCTTTTAATTTGATATTCATCTTCATTAACTAAATTGCACAAATTTTCTTCTTTAAGCTAATTAATTATATAATTTAAATTGGCACTATTAATATATATTTTAATTTGTATAATTATAATTATGTTACTGTTAAAAATTATATTAAATATTATTTATCACTATTATTACCTCGTATTCATCTAAATGAGTGCCACCTTCTCTTCTTAGATGAAGAGTGTCAAAAAATAATGATAATAATCAACAACATGTTAAAAAAAATATTATATATCGTGACAATCACAACCACCACCATTCTTTTAAAAATGATATCTAATAATACTTACTCTTTTTGTTCTTTATTACTTCCTTTTTGTCTTTTTATCGGATTCTTGATTCTAATTGTTTTTTTTTTAAAATTAGAATTCCATGCAACCATTCTTATGATAAACTAGAGTGACAACGAGTGGCGGGCGATAACCACCACCACCCATCCTTAAAACACTTACCTTTCTCTTTCATGAGGATCTATGTTCGATTTTCTTCTTTTTTGTCTTGCTTCTGAAGACATTTTTTATTTTTTATTTTTTTTTTTGAAAGAAGTTTCAGATTTAAATCGACGCGTAGCACAATTATTTATCCCTATTGGTTTTTTTTTGGTAGGACAGACGCGAATTGATTTTTTTTTTTTCTTTTTTGGAAAAACAATATATTTTTTGACAGAGTCAAAGATGACAAAACGTGAGTGTTGTTGTTTGGTTTGGTTTGAATCTCCTAAAGAAAACGTGTTAATAACTAACCAGAGTACTATTTTTTACTTGTATTGATATTTTTTATTTTATATAAACATTTTAATTGGAATCAAAACGTGGAGCAGATCATTGTTGGGTAATTACAAGATTTTCATTGATAATATTTTGCTTTTCGTAATAAATAATATTAATAATATTAATATTACTATATAATTACAAGAAGATGTCAAGGCAGCACACCGTTGAAAAAGAGTCATTGAGTATGCAACGTTTGATTACAGGAAATTGGCAGGCGTTGAAGCACGCACGTTGCCTTGAGCACATTACAGTCATTCTCACGTATTCCTCGTGTACATAAGGCTAATCTGACTACGGTGCTCCCGATGATACAATGATGTTGAATTCCAGGGGGGGGGGGAAAGGCCCTGGAGTTTACCGAGACTGCATCAATCGTCAATGACACTTTCACTAATCTTCCTCACCAGAGATGGCTGCTGGCACGCTAGCCGAAAAGTCGACTGCAACGATCCCGCCTCTAGGGTAAGGATGACACTGTGACCAAGTCGCAACTCTGCTGATGAATATTAGTGCCATGTAAATATCCAGATCCATCAAAGCAACGAGAATCTGCAGCTTGTTTCAAGCACAGGAGGTCGCAATTCAGAGCAGGGTTGGCGGCCCTGAAATTGCATTTGGGCTCTGATGTTAAGAGGGAAGTTGTAAAATAGTGTTTGTTTTGTATAACCACTTCATAAATTCACAGTTCTTTATGATCCACTTTGCCTCTCCTTCAGATTTTGGTGTAATAGTTTTAACCATTTATTTCTACTTCTGTAGAATCAAGCACAAGGGAGAAGATGTAAAACAGTTTGGAAGGATGTTGAACTCAAAAAAATCGAGTCAGAAAATAAATTACTGGGAATAAAAATAAAGCAAGCTGAAGTATGTGTCCAAAATTGATATTATGATCAGTATATAATAAGTTCCAATTTGCGCAAGAGCAATAACTACACTTTTTTTTCTGTTGATCGTACTTTGGTAGGGAATGAAGCTTATATAATCTTCGACCAGAAAAAATTAGATTATGCCTTGAACTCGAATAGTGCTCTGAAAAATATCAGAAAGCATTTGGCAGATGGTGAGGGTATGGAAAATATTCGTTCGTACAAATGACGACATGAGAATGAGGTTGAGCTACAAACACCTGAACACCAAATTTATTCGTCAGAATAAAAATTTGGCTCATCTGAAGTGGTGGATGAAGACCGATCTCATGGATTTCTTTTTTCGGTAAGTCCTAACTTTGTTTATTTTCATCTTGCTTGATATAAAGTTTGATTGACATGATCCATAATCAAAGTCTTCAAATGATCACGATAACCAATGAAGATGAGTTTGGTGTAAAAGGCAAGAATCTTTTCAAACAAAGGTATTCAAATCATTCCTATTTTTATTTACGTATTTCCCATGTATTGCTAAATTTAGATTTGATGCATTGGAAAACTCGAAGAAATGGAAACTGAAGTCAGGGGGATTTGTTGAGGATGTTCTTTACAAGCTTGGAATACAATTCTGATACCATAAGTAAAAATTCGTTACATTATGATATGCTATTCGTTTTTTTTTTTTTTTTTCAAGGAAGAATTACTGACTTTGCCTTTTAGTCTTGTTCATTCTTTTATCATCGACATTGAGGATACCTTTATTAAGGATGAATTCACAGGAGAAAGGATATCTGAAATTGTTGAAAAAAGGAATGGACAAAGTAGACCAGAAATCGACGAAAAGCTTTTTGAATACATAAACACGTTTGCCAAAGTAAGTTTACCTTGGATTGATATCATATCTATTAGATCATCCCATCATTTTTACCAAACAACCTTGTCCTGTGTTCACATTGAAGCAATTTTTGGAAGTTGAATGAGTGCCAACTACACAAACTCTAACCATCACTTTATATCAGATCATCCGATCATTTTCACAAATCAATCTTGTCTTATGTTATATATGCACATATGTAAGATGCAAATATTGTTACGTGTTTTAGGGTGCCCTGAACATTTTGGAGATTATTTGTAAACTAACAGATTGTCTGTACAGAATTCTACAAAGTAAATACAAAAAGCATTGAATATAATGCATCCCCGATCAGGAGAGAATTACAACCCACAAACAGATTTTGCTTATGATCATGTGAAGACTACAGTTGCTGATTGGTAAATCCCAAAGAAACTTTTGTGTGATAGGTTGATCCTTAACTCCTGCAATAGATTAGTACGACTTCTTGAGATGCAACCTAATCCACTTACTCTGGATCATTAGTGTAACCCTTTAACCATATTTAGTATTTTATTAATGGCAATGGACCAGTCCAAAATCCATCCGTTCTCAATGGGCCAGTCAATTTGTCAACCCTGCTCTGGATTTGCTGGAAGCCTGGTACCATATCAATGACTGGAGAATGATTGATGTAGCGCTTTCTGATACACCATACACTTATATTATTGGTTAGGCAAAAAATCTTCGTTCTCCTGATTTAAAACCTTTCACATACATTATATTACAACCATTTTTATTTATTGCAATTGATTTTTGAAATGTAGAGGTGAGAAGGCTGGTTTGGCCTGTACTGAAAGAAAAAACAGATACGGGACCTTGGCAATATATAGGGCCAACCCAACAAAAAGCAATTGGTAAAAAAGGGGATGCATATGTTAGGATGTTTGGTTCGACATCAACTGGTTGGGTGGCGTCAGAAGCTGGACAAAAGTGGGAGGGTGCACATGGCACCAAATTCATGGAAGAGACCAGTCTGAGTTTATAAAAGATATTTTAAACTATTTTTTACTTGTATTGATATTTTTTATTTTATATAAACATTTTAATTGGAATCAAAACGTGGAGCAGATCATTGTTGGGTAATTACAAGATTTTCATTGATAATATTTTGCTTTTCGTAATAAATAATATTAATAATATTAATATTACTATATAATTACAAGAAGATGTCAAGGCAGCACACCGTTGAAAAAGAGTCATTGAGTATGCAACGTTTGATTACAGGAAATTGGCAGGCGTTGAAGCACGCACGCTGCCTTGAGCACATTACAGTCATTCTCACGTATTCCTCGTGTACATAAGGCTAATCTGACTACGGTGCTCCCGATGATACAATGATGCTACAGAATTCCAGGGGGGGGGGAAAGGCCCTGGAATTTACCGAGACTGCATCAATTGCAATGACACTTTTCACTAATCTTCCCAGACCAGAGAAAGCTGCTGCCATGCTGGCCGAAAAATTGCCCACAACAATCCTACTTCTAGGGCAAGGATGGCTCTGTGACCAAGATGTTACAATCCTGCTGATGAATTGTAGTGCCATGTAAATATCCTCCATCAAAGCAACGAAAATCTGCAACTTGTTCCAAGCACAGGAGGTTACAATTCAGAGTAGGGTTGGTGGCCCTGAAATTGCATTTGGCTCTGATGTTAAGAGGAAAGTTGTAAATAGTGTTTGTTTTGCATAATCATTTTCATAAATGCTCTATTTCTCTGATGCTAACCAATTTATGATTTTGGGTAGGGGACTGGATTGGGTTTTTGCCCAATCAGTCCTCTGTCCTATAGATTAAAATTATCACATAATTATATACATCTTTGTCAGCAATATGGCCAACAAGAAAAAAGTTATAAAATGGTTCAGATTTTGGTATGTTTTATACAAGTTAATCATTTTCATAAATTTTCTGCTTCTCTTTAATTTTTATTTGACCAACTGAACTTGTTTTTCGAATGGAGTAGGGTTGTTGGTGAGTAGGCATGCCACTGATAAGACAGGGGACGCCTTTGGGATATACCAGCCAAACTCATAAAAGAGATCTTTTGTCCAGACTTAAGGACACATGGATGTTAAGCACAGAAAATGTACACTACCAATGTATATTTTTTTCAACAAAATAAACATTTAAATAATTAATTGTTAAATATTAATACTTTTCTTTTCATAAAAATTTCAGCAACCCAGGACTCAAAACTCTGAATCCAAAACAGCAACCCTTCCAAGTTGGAAAATTTCAAACCAGTTGCAGGTGCCAGCTTTATTCTAGAGAGGTATAACACACAGCAATCATCATAAATGCTAACTCTCATCAGCAAACAATGCCCATATGGTAACAGCCAAGCCTGGTCTGAGGGGATAATAGGGAAATTTTTGCCAACATTATAAAAGCCATCCAGCATGTGGGGTCCCTCACTTGTGGAAAAAAGCCCACAATTATGAGGCGTGTTAAGAGCACCTAACCATAATGTTTGTGATAGGAAAATTTTAATTAAATCTGACACCTGTGATCAAGCATCAGATTTATTATTCATTTTAAGGAACTATACAAGAAAGAATATTTTTTCTTCCTGATCTTCCTTATTCATTTATTTTTGCAAAGCCTAGAGATTTGGGATAGATGCACACATTATTATTTTGAAAAATCAGGTTCCTTAAAAAATTCATTTATGCATGGCCCTGATGTTATTTATCACCTGGGTGATGCAATTGTTTGTTATGTCAATTATAACTTCAAACATATTGAATAATAATCACGAATATTTGATGGATGGAGGCATTCACATACAAGGAAAGGATTAAATAAGCTAAATCATGTTTATTTTTTATCTATATAATTAATTATATTTAAAAAATTATTATTTTATTTCACCTTTGTAATGGCATTGATTTCAGTTGAATTAATGTTATTAAATGTTTTTTTTATTTACAATAATTATTTTTTTTGATACATCAAACTCAGTCCAAAATCTATCATATTTATTATATATATTAAAATTTCTTTTTTGATTAAAAAAAAAATTCAAACATTTGTTTATTTTTTTTAGCACATTTCAATTAGATTTTATTAGATCACATTCAGCAAAAATCTCAGAAGACTACATTGTGCATTAATTCTAAAATAAAAAAATATGTTTTAATGTTTTAGTATAATCAACAATTTTCTTCAATTGTTTTTTTAGAAATAACAATAATTATCTTTTATTTATTTGTTTATCTGTTTTAGTTGATCAATAAATCTCAGGTCTCAAGATAGTTTATCTTATCCATTTTTAGTAATAATAAATAATTTAAATCTAACGTAATTATTTTTCATGGAACCAATTGAGGATTTTTATTTTCTCTTTTATATCAATTATTGAATATATATTTCTGATATTTATTTGCAGACCCACTCAAATTTAATTCTTTCTGCTTTGCTTGTCACCACAAGACTGATTTCAATTTTAAAATAAATGAAAACCTACAAAGTGAACATGAAATTATAAAATTATATATATAGGGATAGGTTTATATGAAAAGTAATAATAAGTATAATGGTTCTAATGAATATGAAAAAGCTATTGATTTTTTGAAAAAGGGTTGTGATTGTGGTTGCTCTTTAAGAATTCCCAAGGAAAATTTTGCAGAATTAAGAGAATCCTTTCAAGCACTTTCCAAGTCCGAACAAGACATATTTTTAATGGCTCAACTTAAGGCAATGGATGGTGGATCAATAAGCACTAGCAGACGCCTTAAAAAGAAAACTAGGTCTAACAAAAAAACTTTCTACCATTGGGATCATAATACACCCCTTTGTCAAGAAACTTATTTTAATATGTTAGGAATTGGTAGAACTTACTTTGAAAATATTAGAAGTCATCTGATAAAAAATGGTCTTCTAGCAAGA